GTGTGTGCGTGCCCTCGTGGCCTAGAGGTTAAGGTGTTTGCCTCTCATTGTCCCGGGTTCGAATCCGCGTAGCGGCAGACATTTTTGTTTTTCTAAAATTGTCTCCTTTCACCTCCTTTCCTTCTCTCTTGCAATATTCTGTTGCGCACGTTAAAGATCCCTTGGTGGTCCAAAATGCATAAGAGTAGGCTTCGGTCGCCACCTGGGCTAAATCAAAAATGTCCTGCCAAATGAAAATGTTTGGTGTGTCTCGTGCGCTCATATGACCGTAGGCAGTTGTGAGCGCCGTAAAACACTTACAAAAAAACCACAACAAAACTACTGACAGTAAACTACGAGTAAATTGGCCTAGCTTAGACTATGGTAAATCAATGGAGCGCATAATTAATTGCGGTGACCTTATTAAAATGTAGGCCACAAAGGCCTATATAAGGTAACCCAAACCATAGAGGTGCCCAGACTGAAATGTATTGTGTAATGTATGGTGTGTATCAGTATTGTACGTGTGAATGTACTAAACTGAAGTGTATAATATATAATATATATTATATACTGTGCTACACGTGTGTATGTTCTGTGTAACGTATGATGTGTGTACGGACTGTACTGTGTTGAACTGTACGTGTGTATGTACTGTGTAAGGTATGTTGTGTGTGTTACTGTACGTGTGTATGTACTGTGTAATGTATGGTGTGTGTGTGTGTGCTGTACTGTTCGTGCGCATGTACTAAACTGAAGTGTATGTACTGTGTAATGTATGGTGGAGTTTAACAAACACGGTCTCATCCCTGAGTCTGCGGGTCACGAAGGCCGGCTCAACTCAACCCTCACTCAACCCATCCCTCTCTTCCACCGTATTATTGTCACGTGACATAATATTATGGCGGGAACATTCTCCAGCTTACCTGGCTACCTGGCTGAAACCAGTGTTGTTGGGATTGGGGGAGCCACCGCCCCCTCAAGGCGACTGAAACCACAAAAATGTTTTGATGAATACGGATGGTGTGAGAATAAGGGGCGCTGGCTCCAAAACAGTCAAGCTTCACTTACGAAGATGTACATGTAGGCGTGTGTGTGTGTGTGT